GTACAGTATGAGCTGCAGTACATATTCAGAATTATAGGGCAAAGCTGATCTTATTTAGATATGTAATCAGAGCTCTTTATGTTTTTGCATGTATAGTTCTGCAGATGTCTCAATAACTTTACGCAACAGAGGACCAGATGCTTACAAGCCTGTGGTATATGGGGAGTCCATCATTGTTGAACAAAGGATTTCGAGTGATGGTGTCAGATCTTACAAATTAAAAAACAAAATGGGTAATTTCTTATTCTTTGTTTTAAATAAACCTGTTTTTATTCCCTACCGTACTAGTCATTCAGTTTTGCAACACATAGGTCAAATGTTCACTCTCTCAAAGAGTTAGTAACAGCAAGGCTACTTTTTTAACTCAAAATGCTGATCAGACATTTCCTTGACACAGGTGTGTAGTGAGAGAGAGGGTAATTCCTGCCTCACACCATTCAGTGCTGTAGGATAAGCTATTTTAATGCTTCCTCACTGGGCTTCAGATGTTTTTATATTCCTTTATCATTAAGCATTGAGCTCCAAAATTCAATATAGGAGCAAATGACATAGGATTTATATAGACGAAGGGATCTATGTACTATACTAAGCTGTACTACTGTATGTAGACCTGTATTGTATTGCATTATTTACCAAGAAAGTAACTATAGAGTGGGATTCTGGTATTTATTTAGAGCTCTTCAATCTCTAAGTTTGTATTGACTTTTTCGCAGTAGGTTCTAAATTGTTGCTAATTTTAATATAATGACTAGTGGTAATCATGGTGTTATCAACAATTTTGGTGTTTTAATCTGGTGTGTTCTCCACTTACATAGATATGTTATAGCAGTACGTATAGAATTCTGAAAAAACATTGTTTATGAGTCAGCGAACATTTGAATTAAAGGAAACACTAGCCAAAGACCAAAATCAAGTTGTTAAATCTTTGTGCAGAAAGAGTAATAGAAAAAGTAAGTGATAAAACGTGTTTCAGACTTGACACTTTATTTTGCATTCTAGTTATCTTTTTTCAGAACTGTTGGAAAAGTTTTGTTGTTTCTTAAAAGGTCAGTTAATGTCAACGAAAAAGGAGGAGCTCATTTCCATTCTGGATCACTTCAACATCCAGGTGTGTGCATTGATTTACTCAGAAATATTTAAGAACTGGAGGGATGCTTGTCTTGTCTCATCACCAGCCTTGAGATCTTCTGTGTCGGCGGCTGTAAAATTGTTCATCGGCGTTGTCATGAATAAGGCAAAGGACTTTTATTGATATCGGGGAAAAAGAAAT